GGGTTGTGTGTTGTGGTTGTGGTTGTGTGCTGTGTTGTGGTTGTGGTTGTGTTTGTGGTTGTGCGTTTGTGGCTGTGTGTTTGTGATTGTGTGTTTGTGGATGTGTTTGCGGTTGTGCTTGTGGCTGTACGTTTGTGGTTGTGTCTTTGTGATCATGTTGTTGTGGTTGCGTGTTTGTGGTTGTGTGTTTGTGGTTGTGTGTTTGTGGATGTGTTTGTGGTTGTGTTTGTAGTTGTGTGTTTATGGTTGTGTTTGTGGTTGTGTGTATATTTTTGTGTCTTTGTGGTTGCGTGTTTGTTGTTATGTTTGTGGTTGTGTGTGTGGTTGTGTTTGTGGTTGTGCGCTGTGGTTGTGTTTGTGATTGTGTTTGTGGTTGTGTGTTGTGGGTGTGTTGTGGTTGTGATTGTGCTTGTGATTGTGTATTTGTGATTGTGTGTTTCTGGTTGTGTTTGTGGTTGTGTGTTTGTGGTTGTGTGTTTGTGGTTGTGTGTGTGGTTGTGTTGTTGTGGTTGTGTGTTTGTGGTTGTGTTTGGTTGTGTTTGTTTATTGTTGTGTGATTGTGGGTGTGCGTTTGTTGTTATGTTTGTGGTGGTGTTTGTGGTTGTGTGTTTGTGGTTGTGTCTGTGGTTTTGTTGTTGTGGTTGTGTGTTTGTGGTTGAGTGTTTGTGGTTGTGTGTCTGTGGTTGTGTGCCGATTTTTGTGTCTTTGTGGGTGTGGGTTTGTTGTTATGTTTGTGGTTGTGTTTGTTGTTGTGTTTGTGGTTGTGGTTGTGGTTGTGTGTTTGTGGCTGTGTTTGTGGCTGTGTGCTTGTGGTTATGTGTTTGTCTTTGTGTGTTTGTGGTTGTGTTTGTGGTTGTGAGCTTGTGGTTGTGTTTGTGGTTGCGTGCTTGAAGCATACTATCTGCCGTTCAATCTGCCATTCTATCTGGTTATCTATTTGACATACTATCTGGCATACTGTCTGGCATTCTATCTGGCATTTTGTCTGGCATTCATATTTTCTGGCACTCTATCTGGCAATGTATCTAGCAATCTATCTGACACACTATTTGGCATACTATCTGGCATATCTTCTTGCAACATTCTATCTGGCAATCTACTTGGCATTCTATCTGGCATTTTATGTGGCAAACTATCTGGTTGAGGTCCAGCGGTGCACACTGCGATCGGATCCTTGCGGTTGAG